TTTCTGGACTTTAGGAAGGCCTTCTACACTGTCTCTCACCACATCCTCATTAAAAAATTATGCGACTGTGGTGTCAAAGCCTACACAGTCAGATAGGTCACAAATTGGCTGGAGGGCCGCACCCAAAGAGTGCGGGTCATTTTCGACTTGGAGAGATGCGGGCAGTGGGGTTCCCCAGGGCTCAGTCCTTGGGCCCACACTGTTCAATATCTTCACAGGTGATTTGGACCAGGGTGTGAAAAGTACCTTGTTCAAATTTGCAGATGACACTAAGATGTGGGGAGAAGTGGGGACACTAGAAGAGAGGGACAGACTACAACTAGATCTGGACAAGTTACAGAGGTGGGAGGATGAGAATAGGATGGGTTTCAATATGGACAAGTGCAAGGTGGTGCACCTGGGGAGGAAGAACCAGCAGCATACCTACAGGCTGGGGAACTCCCTTCTTGTAAGCACAGAGGCAGAAAGGGATCTTGGAGTCATTATTGATTCCAAGATGAACATGGGCTGCCAATGTGGAGATGCGGTTAGGAAGATTAACCACACCTTGTCATGCATCCACAGATGCATCACAGCAGGTCCACGGAGGTGATCCTCCCCCTTTATGTGACATTGGTCAGGCTGCAGTTGGAGCTCTGCGCCCAGTTCTGCACCACACTTCAGGAGGGATGTGAATAGCACTGAGAGGGTCCAGAGGAGGGCCACTCGCATGTTCAGGGGGCACCAGGGCAGGCCCTATGAGGAGGGGCTACAGGACCTGAACCTGTTCAGCCTCCACAAGAGAAGGCTAAGAGGGGATCTGGTGGCCACCTATAAACTTGCCAAGGGGGACCAGCAGGCAATGGGAGAGTCCCTGTTCCCCCAAGCACTACCAGGGTAACATGGAACAATGGCCATAAATTCACTGAGAGTAGATTCAGGCTAGATAGCAGGAGGCACTACTTCACAGTCAGGGTGGCTAGGAGCTGGAACCAACTTCCAAGGGAAGTGGTGCTTGGGGGTCTTCAAAAGGAGGGTAGAGATCCACCTAGCTGGGGTCATTTGACCCCAGCATCCTTTCCTGCCCATGGCAGGGGGACAGACTTGATGATCTGCTTAGGTCCCTTCCGACCCTACCAACTATGAAACTAGCTGTCCAGGAAGTTTTCTAATATTCTTTTTAGGTTTTCTCAATTGCAAAGATATTTAAAAAATAAGAGCCTATTTTTGGAGATCATAGAAAAGGCAGTCTGTTCTGCAGCTGCTTCTCCAAGATGTTGCTGCATTGGCTTAAAACTGATCTCACCTCATCTGTTAGGCTACATATGCAACTTCTAGAAGGGGCTGAATTAGAAGACATTAGGTTCCATAGACTAAAGTAGGGTAGACCATGCTTCAGTTACATTCAGTGCCATCATATCCTATCCTTATAGCTAGTTATGCTTATTGAAGCTCTAACAACTTCTGAATTATAAGTAGCTCAAAGTTACAATGCTAAAATAGGGGGAGTCTGAAATAGTGTGCAATGAAAACTAAGCCAGATACTCAAAAGGAGGATATAAAGCACGGTGGCTAGGCTTAATAGAATCTATATCTATCAGTAAGTGCAGTTTTAAATTTATTGCCTTTGCAGTGCCATACTTATGAAGGTAGGCATGCAATTGTTTAAATGACAGAATAATCATCAATAAGAAGAATTTCTTCATAACTATCCACCCTTTAAACACTGAGAAATCAGCAGAGATATGCAGAACTAATACATTCTAACAGAATTTGCATTGCCAGATCTCTGCTTTAGGAAATCAGTAACAAGCTCCAAGAGAAAGACTGAGTATTTCTAAGCAACAAAAGCTCTCCTTACTTTGAACCATCCACTGATTTAGCATCTAAATTGAGAGAATAAAGCTCAATAAAAACATGAATTGACTGCCAAGCAACAGCCACATGCATTTTAGGCAATAACAGAAACCATAAGGAAGCCAGTGATTGCCTTCATCTAGTGGAATGGGCTCTTTGCCCTTTTTGAACAAACATCTGAGTCGGACCAGATAAACTCTGACCTTAAATGACCTGACCTTTCAACTCATTGCCAATCACCAAAAATATAGACATTAGAGTAATAAATAAATTATGTCTTTTTAAAATAATGTCCTCCTTACAGTCTGCATGCAACCTGTACTGGATAAGTAGGATCAACATCCTAGATTCTACCTGGCAAAGACAGAGGTTGCCACTAAATCCCTGACAGATCTGTTAAAATGCAACTTAAACCTGAAATGAACAGACAGAAGCTTGTTAAACAGTTTTAAAGCTGCCTCAAACGGTTCACAAACACACATGTAGAAAATCAAGTACTCTTTTGAACTGGTTTGCTGTGAAGTGGGTTAATGTTACGTGTGGACATAAACCATTCCATAATATGGGTCTGGTTGGTTAGTCAGATCTCCCACATTGAATAGCTTCTCTCCCTCTTCCCTCTGCCGCCAACTGCTATAACTGGCTGCTCTGCTACATGGCCAGACAAAACCCTACCGCCATTTCCCATTCTTGCCCTTCATAATTTTGTTGGCATTTTTAAAAGTCAATGAGCTCCCTTGCCTTTCTTCAATAAAAGTGATCCTACTAACAACAACTGGTGTCCTCACTCCTATGCAACCATGGCCCCGGAATCCCCAACTATGGGGTCTGAGCAATCCCCTTCTCCAGACACCCCAAACCAGGCCAGCATACTGAAAAATTTTGTCAAGTGCAGGTTATTGAACTTTACACTGAACTCATGCTTCGGAGAAGGGAAATTACAGAAGTGAAAACACCCCTAACCACAGGTCGCCCACTGCCTGGGACACTGACCCTCCCCACCTCGAAATGCTGAGCACTCATTCCCACCCCCTGGAGTCAGAACGACAGCACTACAAAACCTAAAAAGGTGACCCTTTTACCTGAAATGTTAGAGCACCATAGGTTTGGACACCTCTGACCCACAACAACTATGAATTGTTTCCCCATCAGGGATATTTTGAAACAGTTCAACTGTTAACATGAATCCACACCCTCATTAGAATACTTATGATGGTCTGTCTCATTTTCATGTAGATCACTAGATGGGGTGATATTCTTATGATCATGTATAATTTTAGAAGAATCAAAAGGATATGGGTATACAAGTTACCAAAAGGTATAAACTACAGCATAAGTTTACATCATGTAATATAGTCTGTAGTAACTGCATATGTACATGCCTTTACACCACAGTAAATGAAAGACAGCTACCCTATTTCACCAGGGTAATCTGCTTTGTATTTACTGCAAAGTAGGAACATACATGTAGGGGTAGGTATCACCACAAGGTAGATAATAAAACTACAAGTTCACACTCTGGCCTCGTTTACTTGTTCACGTACCCATATCCAAAATATGCAAGACACAATATACATAATATCCACAATCACCCCATTTTGGTATGGTACATGAACTTGAGCTTTTTCTTTGACTAAATTGTCAAAGATGAATACACTTCAGTACTAGGCAAAATGATATATTTGTATTTATTTCATAAAATCTCTTAGGGGGAAAAAAAAAGATACTGTAAAAGCATCACCTTCCTTGGGTATATATTTGGATTCAGATAAAGTCTACATAACACCCAAGGCAGTCCCAGAGATTTTTTATGCAACAAGCTATGTTTTTAATCCTTAGCAATCAATCATTAGATAAACAATGTAATACTGTATTAACATTAAGAGGACTTATTTCAGGTCAGTACTTTTTTCAAAGTATAGCACCTGTTTGGCAACAGAACATTGCACCTTTCACTATTCCTCAGAGACCATCTGAAAGTTGGGTAATAAAAGCTGATTTTTGTAATGAAATAAAGCAGTACTAAAAAACAAAACAAAACAACCCCCCTCAATCAAAATCTTACCTCTCCTTTATATTCCACTGCTTTTATTCCTGCATATATTGGCACAAAACTGCTTGCTAAGAGGACCTAGAAAGAAAATAAAAATTGTTAACAGTCAAAGTAGTAAGTAGTAAGAGGAGGTTGGATGACCACCTTACTGGGGTCATTTGACCCCAGTGCTCTTCCTGCCATGGCTCAGGGTCGGACTAGATGATCTGTTCAGGTCCCTTCCAACCCTAGAAACTATGAAACTATGAAAGTAGTAATATTAATCATTCAACATATGAATTTCATATATTTGGAGAAAACCATTGTAAAGCATATTTATGTTTGTTGATATAGTGTATATGAAAATGTTCTTAAATATTCAGTATTGGTATAGTGAAATAGCTATTTCAACATTTTGTTATGGCTTCAGAAGGACAAATATGCCCAATGTGAACTTGCGCCAAATGCTGCCTGAAGTTAACACAGCTGCCAATTGGTAATAGGCCATTCAAGCTGGGGAATCAAGGGCAACCAGATGTTTTACCAACTACATCATTCCCTGTGAGCCAGTAGTATTAGCAATTTGAATACATTAATCATGCTAGCCCAACATGCTGCTGAAAATTGGGCAGACTTTTCACTGTTTGTTTAATTTTTCAAATGGCATCTCAAAGAGGGAACATGATACAAATGAATGTCATCAACTGAACAATGTTCACCAATGTTTGCCTTCTAAGAATCAGTGTTACCTTTAGATGGACATTATCTTATGATATAATATATTCTCATAATCAAAATTTTACTTAAAACATACAAATTATAAAAAGATGCATTACATAAAGTTAGACAACATACTGCACTATGCATGTAGAAAATATTTGGCAAAAAAAAAAAAGAATGCTTTGGACTTAATTTAACCACGTAAACAACAATGCAACATAGAACCATAGAAAACGGGCTGGAAGGGACCTCAGGAGGTCATCTAGTCCACCCCCTGCTCAAAGCAGGGCCATTCCCAATTTCACCATCCCAGCCCAGATAGATATATCATGAATCTAATGTGATTCTCTCTCTCTACTAAATTATCTGTGAATGACAGCAGGAAGTTCCTTTTTGAACTTTGAGTTGGATAAACTAGGGTATGAATGAGGGTCACTTCTAATGCTGGCAATTTCTGGGAAATTTTCAAGTCTAGGAATCTTTTTGGGAGTGGGAATAGTACAGGAATTCTAGTAATCAGCCCTATCCCCTGCTCCCTACACTTTGTTCAGACTGGAATGACCCAGTTTCAGGAAGGAATGGGGAGCTTTACCCAGCCACCCAACTCCTCCTGGTTCCAGAAGGCGAGCTGCTGCTGTTCTGCATGCCTTCTCCAGGCCAGGGTGACTCATATTCCCTGTGCCTTTTTGAGACCTCTCCCTGTTGCTTGACTCCTCCTAGTTCAAGAAGAGTAGACCAGCAGAAAAGCATACCAGCATTTATTTAGAAGATCTTTCTCCAAAATCAAGAAGGTTTGCTGCAGGAGAAATTGAATGAATGATCTCTCATTCCTACTTTCTACTGGGACAGTGGTAATTCTCCCAGTAGAGACACATATAAGGCCACAGTTAACAAGCAGATGCTGGCTGTTCCACATACAGAGTATCCACAAATGCACTTACACACACATCCCTATGTATTTGAGGGTAAAAGAAAGAGCAAATAAAAAATACCACTAAATTTTCTTAATAGCAAATAATTCCAAAGTATTGTTTATTTCAAACCTTTAGACTGCTAACAGGGCCATGGTATGGTAATCAGTCAACATTACAAAGGAAAGGACTTTGTCTTGAGGTTGTTTACTTTTTCTAGAGACTAGAACAATAATCTGCAATGGGACATGCACCTAAAAATAATTGTTCCTTTTGTCTACTGTAATTGTAAACTGTGTCATTCACCATGTACTGCTGTTAATCTATTTTGCCCCAAGAACAGAAGACTCAACTGCTTTCTTCTTCCACAACCCGCTAATTTTAAAACACTGCCACATAAATAGTATACAATAGTCAAGATTTCATAAATTGGCATCTAAAAGGTGGGTTGATACAGTCACACTGTGTAATGTAATAGCTTGATTTCTAAAACATCAATCACCAAGCAAGCTTTCACTGACTCCAAGAGTTCAGGAAGACAGAAACCCTCCCTACAAGTGCCACTGCTTGCAATCTGCCAGCTACATGAGAAACAATTACAGCAAAAGCTTTGTTATCTGGCACCCATGGGGAATGGAGGGTACCAAATAACCAAATATGCTGGTTATCTGAGAGGCCCAAACAGGCGTCTTTGCCCCTCCCTCCACATCAGTGCGCCGGGGAACAGGGAGAAGGGCACGCTAGGGAAAGGCTGCTTTGCCCTGGGTCATGGGGGCTCAGCAAAACCAGAAGTGCCACGGGGGACACTTCAGGTTTTGCTTTTGCCATGTCAACTGGCATGCTGGTTTGTAAGGTGCCAGATAACACAGCTTTTCCTGTATTTAAAAAATGGAGAAGATGACACTAGTGCAAGAACTGTAAAAGTGGGTAGGAAACTGGCTAGAGGGGAGATGACAAGCTAGAAAAGTCTATGAATAGAATGATAGTAACAGTATGGAGAGAGAGCTGATGAGCCAAGAGATTTCTTTCAGTCCTATATCCCTACCTAATCAGAATATTTTCAAAACACCAATCTGTCAGAGATGTAGGGGACTATTTTCCAGAACTTATTTAAATATAAAATGCATTTTCCCTACCTGCCCCCAGAACCATCATTTACATTTATTTTAGATTAGCATATAGTTGGAATCATGACCAAAGTCTAGAAGAAGGGGGCATCCGATATGGAAACAAGAAAAGAGAATACCAGGGACATGTCCCTCCCCAGCTCTATTTGATTGTATTTCATTTTCCCACTTCAAAAAAAGCTCAGAGTGGCTTACAACACACACACACACACACACACACACACACACACA